ATGTCTTAACCAAGTACTCAGAAGCGAAAGGCCCGATGTGGATAAGAAGAGAAGCGACCTACTCAAACTTCAAGTTCGTACCTGAACTTTTTTTCTTCTGTAGATCAACTTAGGTACCTACTTTTTAGGGAGAATTTGCGGTACGCCTTAGACAACTGGAGAAAGCTCTACTGGCAGCGTTAAATGAAAGCAAAGGAAAGATTTTGGATGATAATTCAGTCATTGGCACTCTCGAAAAGCTGAAGAATGAAGCATCTGAAGTAGCGAAGAAAGCTGCAGAGACCGATAAAGTCATGGCTGAGGTGAGTGGTGGAGCAGCAGTGTTAGATTCAAAATCTTTAAGAATATTAACTGTGTGTTTAGGTGGAAACTGTTTCGGGACAATATCAAAGACTTGCAGCTGCTTGCTCACAGATCTATCATACGCTGCAGCAGCTGAATGAGGTATGTTGATATTTCTGCATTTCTTTACTTTGCTGCTTTCAATGCTACAAACCTTGAGGTACTGTCTTTCTGACATGTTTTTCTAGATTAGGGAAATGTGGATTTATTGTTGGGTTTGAGAAGCGGAAGATAGATTTGTTCAAATACATAACAGATCCATTTGCTTAGTACTTATATCAATTATTTTGGAGCACATGTTCTTTATCGCATTGAAATATCATCAAAAATTTGGGTTTCCGTTTACAGCTGTTGGAGAATTTATGAATAGAGACTGCTTCTTTGGATCTTCTTTTTATTCAACACCTTTAGGTGCACTTCTTGTACCAATACTCGCTTGACTTCCTGCTTGATATCTTCACATGCGTTCTCAAGTCACCGGAACTTGCTCAGACGCAAGATCACATGCAAAGGCTCAATATCATCACGGCAAACTTGTTCCAGGTAAAGCTGGAATTAGCTTTAATTTCTTGTTTCTTATGTACTGTTTACATTTTTATTTTTTAGACTGTCTATCGTCGCGTATCGCGTGGTATGCTTCATGCAGACAAGGTCTTATTGGCTCTCCTTCTCATGAGAATTTCGCTGAGATCCGTTGGTGGCGAACCATCTTACGATGCTCAGTGGGATCTACTCTTGGGCCGTAGTGAGCTATTTGCTTCTAAGTCTGCTCACCAGTCTCCACCTACTGCATTACCGTTCCTTACTTCGCAACACATGGCTGCGCTGATTAAGGCACAGAAGCTGCCTGGCTTTGAAAAGGTCCGATTTTCCCTTCTGTTTCAATAACAGTTTGGAAAAATTTTCTTTAGATCTTGGACATTATGTGTGCTGATCCCGAACAGATCAAACAATGGTTGGTAATGGATAACCCTGAAGCTGCGGTACCAGTCTTGTGGGAAGATCCAGAGCAGAAACTTAGTAAGGATAAATTGAGGTTTGTGAGGAAAGAGAATTTCTCATTTTCAGCCCCGATCGGAAATGCGATGAATCAACTGATTGTGGTGCATTGCCTAAGATCCGATCGTTTGATGGCAAGTGCTCATCGAC